AGCATCAGACCCGTCCTCATGTTTAACCTCTGCTGCCGACTGAAACTCACAGTCGTCAGATTGAAGTCTGAGGTCTCATCCTTGACCTAAATATAAATGGACTGAGTTTTATATGTGCCTGTGAATGTGATGTAAACTGTATATAATGTCCTAAAGGTACCAAATCTATGATTTAGCTTGAAAACTTCTGAATAAGCTTCACAAACGTTTCCTTGTTTTGAGAATGTCGTTCTGCAGTTTTGTCAGTATTTCTTGAAACCCTCTGCTACAGTAGAATCCTGTCACAACAAAGTATTATTGCTGCTATTAAGATTGCATTATTTGTAGTCATTACGTACATGTTATGAGTCTTTCTGGTGTCGTTTTTACTGTCAGCAGTTAAACTGGTCGTGTTGAGTTCTGGGGATTATCTGCTGCTTTTCTTCTCTGTTGCTCTCTAAAGGAAACAAACTCTTTCTGGTTCTCTTTCCTAAAGAACATCAGTCACTTCATTAAAAATACACCTTTAACCTCCCCAAAACATCTCTGTCTCATCTTTCTTTGCTGCCAGGGAAAGAACAATATGTTTGAAATGTAAAATGTTGCAGCCATGAAACTTGTGAACAATTGTTCGATTACAAATGCAACTGATGATTACTTTTTCTCTTTTGTCTTTTTATTCATATTCTACTTGATGTGACCACAGTTTACGGGAATTTTACAAGGTAGCATGATTGAAAGTAAAATAACATCAGAACTAATTTAATGTGATTGCAAGAAAATCTAAAGGTTTTGCTATGAGGTTAAAAGATAATACAGCTCGAATTAACCTGCAAAAGAGAAATGAGGGAAGCAGTGGGAAATAAAAGAATTCGGAACACCACAACCAAAGGTGTAAAAGCCATGCCGGGTTTTTAGTCTGGACTGAATTTCAAACAATGTGCAGAAATCAGCATCATTCAGATGATTTATTGTTACTTTTGGTGTAAGTTTAAAGTGCAGAAGCAAATTTTATGACAATAATTTAGCACTACAGTTAGAGCTGCAAAGGCACCAGTGATTTAGTGACTGATTCCACTTAAGTTCTTTGATTCTTGACACCACAGCGAAAAAAACGAACAAACATGAACCAGTGAAGTTAATGTATTTCAACAATGACTTTTTAAATAACATTTAGAAAAGGGATTGTTAGTAATTAAAAAGACATTTATGTTTTTTAAACAATATTGTGCCAAGAAATGAGAAGCTATCAACTCTCTAATGGTGTCATGACTTTCCTATTGCAGCTGTCTGATATATGGACAAAAAAAGACAGAAAAAAGAATGCAGATAATAAATTGACACAGTGTAGTAATTTTCTGAAAAGATTTTAACTTTCTAAAAGCAGTGTATGTGTCATATCTCCTGCCAAACATCCACCTCATGCTTTTACTGTGAAATCACCACACACATGTATAGACATACACACACACATAAACGGACAGACACGGACACGTAGCCACTCTGCTAGTCTCAGCACAATAATGTAGCTACTACTTCAGCCTAAACAAGATAAAGCAGTCATTACCTTCTCCTAAACAAGATAATGTAGTCACTGTGTTCACCTTCACAATGTAATGTTGGCCTCTAATAAGATAATGTTGACTGGAGCAAGATAAAACTAGCCTAAACAAGATAATGTAGCCACTATGTTAACTTAAACAAGATAATGGAGTCAATGAATTAGCCACACACGGTAATGTTAAGCTAAGATAAAAAGGTAATTCTTTATTGATCCCCATAGGAGAAAATCAGGACATGTTAGGCTTAAATAAGATAATGTTGTGTGGAACAAGATAATACTAGCCTAAACAAGATAATCAAGGCACTATGGTAGCCTAAACAAAACAATGTAGCCACTCCATTTGCCTAAACGGAAAAAAATGTAGCCACTATGTTAGCGTAAATAGGATAATGTAGCCACTACATTAGACTAAAAAAGATAATGTAGCCACTATGTTTGCCTAAGCATGATATTGTAGGAACCATTTTAGCCTAAACAAGATCATACAGCCGCTATTTTAGCCTAAAAAAGACAATGCAGCCACTCCTTTACCTAAACAAGATAATGTAACCTCTGTGTTAACCTAAATGAGACAATGTAGCCTTTATGTTAGCCTAAATGAGATAATGTAGCCGCTACCTTCGCATAAACAAGGTAATGTAGCCACTATGTTTGCTTCAACAAGATAATGTAGCCGCCAAGTTAGCCTAAGTAAGATAATGTGGATGCTACCTTAGCCTAAAAAAAGATAATGTAGCCACTGCATTGCCTAAACAAGATAATGTAACCTCTGTGTTAACCTAAATGAGACAATGTAGCCTTTATGTTAGCCTAAATGAGATAATGTAGCCGCTTCCTTCGCATAAACAAGGTAATGTAGCCACTATGTTTGCTTCAACAAGATAATGTAGCCGGCAAATTAGCCTAAGCAAGATAATGTGGATGCTACCTTAGCCTTAAAAAAAGATAATGTAGCCACTGCATTGCCTAAACAAGATAATGTAGCAGTAGGGTTACAGCGTTGCCGGGCAACCAAGCACACAGCTGCAATAGATACTTGGTTTAACTGTCAAATCAGTAGAAGAAACCAGAAGGAGAAGTCCTCAAACAACTGCCATTTTTGTCAAAACCGTGTGTCGGAGAGAAAAGCCGAGCACATTTTCAGAAAGCCAAGACCTTGGGCATTACAGAGATGTATGTTTGTTTTCCTGGAGTAAAAAATGAGCGCACAATCATTTGAGAAGAAATGTGCAAATTTGTGGTCCTTGAGAGAGATCAGTCCTCGTCTTTGAATGGGTGCAGATGGGGAAAGAAGAGAGACTTGTGGAGGAACAAGGCTCCAAAACTCCCCCAAATTTAATTCTATGGGCTTCCAAAGTGACATTGTGAGCGGGAGGACAAGTTTTCCTACGTTTTGATGTAAAAATGATGACTGCCACATAAAAATTGTGGCCAGAGTGACAAGGTAAAAAAAGATTTACTGTGTGATTTTTCTCTGAGCTCCCACTCTAGTGATGTCATCACTCACTCTAAAGGACCACATACACACCCATTGTAAAGGCTGAAAAGGGCTGAAAAAGTTTGAAAAGTTGAGAGGTTGTCACGAGAAAACGATTGAAGGTATGAAAAAAGTAGAAACACTTTGAAATAGGGAAAGGCCGCGTCAACATTTTAAAGTTTAAATGGAGTCTCTAGGTGAAAGTATGCCTGAGCAGTGGAGGTTTGAAAAGTAGTGTAATGCGTTTCTTGTAAATCTGTATGTAAGCACACTTGTCCCAATCGAGTCGCACGTTTTGATGTATAATCTGTGTGGCTGCTCTGAAATCTGTGGGAGGAGCAGCCGACCGAAAATTTGTACGGATGAGGAAAAATAATAAGAAGATGCGCACCAGGATAACAATAGTGGCCTCGTGCTCAGCCCGTGGCACTAATAAGATAATGTAGACACTATGTTTGCCTCAACAAGATAATGTAGCCGCTGCGCTAGCCGAAACAAGATAATGTAGCGTCTACGTTACCTTAAAAAAGACAATGTCGCCGCAACGTTAGCCTTAACAAGGTAATGTAGCTTCTATGTTAAACTAAATAAGATGATGTAGCTTCTATGTTAAACTAAATAAGAT